TTCTTTGTATTTCTTTATTGAAGCTGAATATATATTTTTCGGATCTTTATTTTGAAAGTCAGTCATTTCATGTGAGAGTATGTCATTAATAAAATCATTATTTAGCAATTCTGACCACAAGCCCACGTCAACATATTTCTCAAACTTAATATTCTCTAAATTTCTTTCCGCCTCGGTATTACCGTCCTCTTGCTGAACACCAATATAGTTTTCAGTGGGATCAGAGGGTTTCTGGTAGTCAAGACAGTTATTAATAAACTAAACAAGTTTGTCACTTTGACGACGAGAACAGAAGTGCTGAAAAAGAAACAAAATTACGTCCGGCGTTAAGCGGCGCTGCGGAAGTCCCCCGTAATAGACGCGAAAAAATACACTGACCAAAAACAAGCGACGGGTAATTCCCCGTTCCGTTCGATAGACGCGCACATGCATGGGATGATTGATCTCAGGATTGCCAACCTTATAATATTATTTTTTTTTAATATTAGATATTTGTTTTAATTCAAAATATCACCTATTGTTTTCAGTGGGGACTGGGGCCCTTTGTTTCCACGGGGCCCTGGGCTGCAGCCCAAAAAGCCCTTAAGTAGATCCGCCCCTGATCCAACCCATTTGTGTTTCATAGAGAGGAAAACCTCGAAAACTTGCCACAGATTTGGCTCAACGTTAAGGGAATTCTAACCCATGATCCGTTTCCTAATGAGGATATTTTAAGTCAGTACTGTGGCAGAATTCGTATCGACCACCTATCGTCGGAATTTGTTCTTGGAACATCTCTTTGGGAGGATCTATCACTTGAGCAAGGACTGGAGGCTTTATTGATATATCGAGGCTTTATACTTATAATATGAACTTTTTTAATGTTCTTTCCATGTATCCCATTTTATCTTCAAAACTTAATTTTAAAATATTCTATGAACAGTACATGGAATTAGAATTAACTTTACTTCACACCTCTCTTTTTCCCCCCCTAGGTTTATTGGTAAATTAAACAAAGTTTTTTAGAACTATTTTTAATTTATAACAAAATTATCATTTTAAAATTTAAAGAAAAAGAATCGTTTAAAAAGGTTCAGAAAATATTTTTAAAAAATTCATTATTTTGTTGCCATTCGTATTTGGTAACTTAAGTAAAAAACCTGATTTGAATTTCTTTAAATTTTATTTTGTTTCTTTAAATTTTAAGTTTCAATCAATTTTGTAAATAGTTTTTGTAAATTTTGAAATGAAGCTCTGAGTGAAAAGGGGTTTTCCACAAATTCCATTTTGTATCATGAAACAAAATTTATTAACTTATGATAATACCTTACAATAATCGTCCGTATGACAAAATTTGAAGGTAAGTAAACATGTCAAAGAAAATGTACTTTCACAGGGGATGATTCCCCATAATGAAGACGTCATTATTAATAAATCTTGCTTAATAGTACAAAATGATATTTGTGGAAAAAACCCTTACCATTCAGACTTTTCTTTCAAAATTTACAAAAAGACTAAGAAAATTGCTCGAAACCTTTTGAATTTTTAGTATATTCAAATCGGATTTTTTCATCAATTTTCAAATATGATTCACAAGAACACCATTAAGAGTTGTCTCACTCTTCAAGTAACAAAAAGTGGAGGAAAAACAATATATTCCAACAATATATATTGCGCCACAATGACTCAGGGGATGGAGTGCTCATCCCCCCAATGAAGTGACCTAGGTTTGAATTAATCCCAGCAATGGCTGGTCTATATGAATTCTGCACTCGGCTAACACTGACCCTTGTGCTGACGTAAAATATCCCCGGATCATGGATTAGAGTTCTCTTGCTGTCGGACTAACCGTGTGAGGTTTTCCACTCCATGTCACGCAAATATGGGTTAGTTCTATCAAAGAGTCTTCCTCGAAGGCAATTTTCTCCCATTACTTGATCAAGAAGTTCCTTTGTCTTCTGGATTGGATTCAAAATTACAACGCTACGGAGTTGAACATTGGTAGTTGTAAACTCAAAAATTGGGTGGTCTGTTCAGAACTATTGTAAAAGATAAACAATATACTATATTCGTTTCTCGAAGCTATTTCGCCAAGGAAAATAAAGAAGCCACCACTTCACATTTGAGGCAGAACTAAGCTTTTAAACTACATATACCATCTTGCCGTAAAGAGCTTTAGAATGGACTAATAATTATTTAGCGTGATTTAGATGAAAATTATCATTATAAACGAATAATTCTCAATTTTTGGAAGTTTTTATAATCTCAGATAATACAGCGCTGGAGTTACTTTTTAAATATTAATAAAACAAATCACAAAACCTTTTCATTTTCACCAAACTATAGTTTAACTTCCTATTAATGTTTTGCGCCATTTTCCGAGAGTTAGCATAGAGGGCGCTGGCTGAACATAAGACAAACTTGGTTTAACAGTCATAAATAACTGTTGCTAAGTCATAGCAGTTTTAAAAATAGCATATTCGCAAAAAAAAAAAAAAAAGTTTTATTTTATGTGATGATAGATTCTGCGAAAAACAGCCTTATGGGTCTGTATTTCAATGAACAAAAGTGAAGCTGTTTTACTATTCAAATGAGGTTTTCATAGATATTATTGAATGATAAGATGTGCTGACTGTCTAAATTTATTTTTCATTAAAAATAATCAGTAGAAATCGCTTTAAGATAAACTTTAAACAAAAAGAACAAACTTACCCTCTGATGTAACATTTTGTATTAGCTAATGTATTCTACATGCACATTGTCTTAAAAATCATTTTCATCTGTGGCTTTTCACCCAGTTATTAAAGCTTAGAGTAATTTGAACAATAGATCGTGTAGAATATTGCTGTCTATAAAAATAATGACGTCACCAAAACCGGTCCCTCGGTATTTGGTGGGGCAGGCAAATTATTATTTTTTTTTTTCTTCTCATACTGGCTATCACTTTATGGAATCTCATACTGCGTTTTAGAAACTTAACGGATGATGAGTTTTGGAAAACAAAATAAAAGTATATTTTTTTTCTTCTCTCTATTCTATCCCGTGTGAGTGTTCATTGAGATGTGACCGTAGTCCGAAGCATGCAATAGGATTGTTGTTCTAATCTTCGGTTATTGTTCTATGAAACGAATGTCAAGTTCAAGATAACATTTGGTTAAATGTGTATCATTACAACTGTTGAGAGATTGTGGTTCGATAAGGTTATTATACCCGTCTATTTACCATCAAAAAACAACAATTCCACGAATCTCAATTTTTTTAAAACTTTAAACTAAATAAAATGTTCTATTATTTATTTTATTTACTTTCTTTATGGTCCTAAAATTCACGTTAAAAAAGCGGTTTTTTTTATTAAAAAATGAGAATTTTTTACTGACTAGGATGCTCAGGCCCTGATTATCGCCTAGGTCCAATAGGCATGGGCCTAGGGCTCACAATTTCTGAGGGGCCTCAAAAATGAGTAAAAAGTCTAATGAAAGGTGGGATACCGTCATTCGGGGCTACTTTGTGCAGGATTTCGCAGTTTTTGAACTTTGACATGTAAAAAAACTATGTTAATTCAAACTTTAGTANTTACAGCTTACTATAAAAAATAATTCAGATAATTAGTGATTTTTCTATTTTTATTTTGATATAACATTGTTTTGTTGTTTTATATTTTTCTTTAACTTACAGATACGTAAACTTTATCTCAGAAAAATAATCTTCAATTGCCTGCTTCAAAAATTTCTTAGAATGTTTATCTTGAATCATGCAGTTCAATAGATTCTTATCTATTGTTAGGAGTAATTACTCAAAATATGACGTAAACTTTAGTGATTTAATTTCAAAATATTTTGTAAGGGGCCCCGGAGAATTTGGCGAGCCTTGGGCCTGAATTTGTCTTGATCAGTCTCTGAGGAGGCTTGTTTACTTAGCTCACTAACCTCCAAAGTTGCTTTTCCTTCTCTTAAAAGTCGATTAAAGAAGTTTATTTTGTTTTCATAATGCATAATTATATATAAGAATTACATAGAAGAAGATTTTTTTTACTTGCTAATCCTAATGGAATGAAGGGATACTTAGATCAACAGTACTGAAAAAAAGAAAGAGAAATTTAATGTTAAGAAATGCGTGACACAATATGCACTAATAAATGAACAGTGATTTAGAGATTTATAACGATAATCATATATCGTTCAAATTGGAAACAGTTTTTATCTCATTTGAGGCTTTGGTAGGGCGTTGGGCTCATGTCCAAGAGGTCGTGAGTTCGATCCTCGCCGGCCGAAGACACTTCGTGTAGTAAATGGTGACTGGTGTATGTTAAATCTGTCTAGTCTGAAAGTCCTCCATGTTCTCATAACAAATCATGCCTCTGGGGTACTGAATTGGAGATTGAGCGTTCAGGTCACAATTACGGTCTGAGGATGAATGAACAGATGTATGAATGGGTCCGTCCTATAAACGGGCTTTGACGTATGTGTGGTTGAAGTCTTATTCTTGGTCACAGATGGCGCCACTGAAAAACAAGAAACTCACTCTCTTCCTTAAATTTGCTTTGTTTCATCACGCAGGCTTGCTGGTATTGCCAAATGACATTAGAAACATCAACAACAAAAATTTTGATACAAATGTTAAGATCTATGCCTGGCAACATTTATTTTTTAAGATTATTTTTATAAATTTTTTTTTGTCATTGTTATTTTCGACAATAATTCAAGCATATATATAATGAAGTTCTCGAGAGAGAGAAATATTTCTATAACAATGGATAAATAGTTATTACTTCAATCGAAAAAAGTTAAAAAATTTTTTCGAAAAAAGCAATTAAGATTGCATAACAAATAAACAAACATCGACAACAAATTAGAATTTCGAAAAGAAAAAATAGTGTTAAGCTCATACATAAGAACGTCCTTTTCTGCATGTCAAATTTTAATGCTGTTGTTAGTTGCATTTTTGTGGCCTGCAGAGTGGTCCACACGGTATTTTTTACTCTAAATTTAATTAATTTTGCAATAACTTTAATTGATGATTCTTGAACTGGTTATCGACTCTTAATGCTTTTTTCTACACATCTTCGTAATTTCAAATTTATAATTCTCATAGTTTGTGCGGAGCTAAAAAAATTAAAACGTAAAATAGAACACCCAAAAAAGCGGCCCTTACGATTTATTTAATATACATAGACTCATTTTAAGTAGACAATATAGGTCGGGTATAAGGTCACCGTGGCTCTGCTGGAGCATATGCATTTGTTTTGCCAATATTTTCTATGGCCATTTGGTATAAATGTGGCTATGTTTCCTTATATTTCCTCTTTCAAAGAATGGGTGGTTATAGGCTTGTTGGTATACATTTTATGATAAAAAATTAAAAAATAGTTTCTATAGTATTAAATTACATGATTTTAGCCCCAGATTTTGATTATCAAAACGGGAAGTTTCAGAGTCAGGCAATGACTCAATGTTCAATATATTGATCAATAATGATCAATTCTTTCCTGTAAATGCTCTTTTTTTCTTTTTCTTTGAAGCCCCGAACTGTCAACTGTTTTATCTTTAGAAATATTTTATCATATAAATAGTGCAAAATTAAAGTCTTGCGTAAGTTTTGGATCAAACTTTATATTTGTTTATCAAAATTAGATTTTTTGTTTATTAGATTTTCGCCTTATTTTATGTTTCTATTTATTATTCCTAATTAAAATATTTTTTAGTTTCTTTATTTTAATTTTTTAACATGATGACTTGACATTATGTAAGAGGTCAAAATTTTATTTTCCAGCAGGCAATTTTGCAAGTTTATTGTTTAAAAAGGTTTCATTTTTTAACCAAGTTACTAATTTTTGTTTTAATAATACATGTAAAAATATTAATTAATGATTAATTAAAATTATTATTTCTAATTATTGTAATCATTATAATAATAATAATTTTTATTTTAAAATATTTTTTTGATAGTTTTTAAATTTTTTTAAGAAGTTGTGGCTATATGGGTAATTTCTTGGAAACTTGAAAATTCAGAAAATTTTTTTTCTTCAAATTTAAAGTCTTCAAAACAATAAAAAAATTTTTTGTACATTTATTTAGGTAAATTTATTACTGTCTTACAGACAGCAGTGTAGTTTATTGGCATTTGTTGAAGAAAAAAAAAAATAGAAATTCACCAAATTTTGAATGCCATGAAAATGACATATTAGCTTAGAACTTAAGAAACCAGTCATTTTAAGCTAATAGTAAGTAACTCAACTTAAGAAACTTAAAAAGAGAAAATTGAAAAGTTAATTCTAACTTTTTATGTAAATAAATTCCAAAAATAATTATTGTGAACATGGCGTTTCTTCTCGGCTTCTTTTTTTTTCTCAGTTTTTTTTTCCTTGACTGTTTTTAGGTCTCATGTTTTAAAGTAACCTAGTAAAATTAATTTTATAATAATTTACATAGGAATTTTTTTATTATATTATTTAAATTTGAAATATTTCAAATCATTTTATTTTATAACTTTATTACATTTTTTAATGTATACACCCATGTACAGTTTAAAGACTATGACAGAATTAAATTGTACAGTGATGTTCTTCGATTATTCTTTATATTTTAATTATCTGTGTTTTGAAAAAAAAAAAAAAAACCCTAAGGCCTTTTCATTAGATGGACCATGAATTGTTTAAATTAATTCTCTTATCCACTGTAGAATGAATCCAAAATGTTTTCGTTGTTGATGTGTACAAAATAAAATCGTGTATAATATAATTTAATAAATAAAAAACTTTGATTACATACAAGCATATTACAATCTTACATAAACTGGGTATTAGGTTAATATTTGCTTTCCCTCTTATCATTATACTGTTAAAAAAATTTTTCTGGAAACAGGCATTCATAAGCTAGGAAAATGACAGCCAGGATATTGACAATTTGCCATATGACAGCATTTAACTTTACTTTAATTTAACATTTCGGCTAAAGACGTTTACTTTCAGCAGAAAACAACAGGATTTCTTGAAATAACTCAGGTAAATCTAAGTAGTTTTTGTTATTAATGATTTCAGGAAGACAGGAAAATGACAACCTAAAAACCTACTCACCTTGTAAAATATTTTGAACCAGAAAGTTGGTTCTTTATTCCTGAAATAAGACATGTTCTGATAGGATGGTATTCTAATCAATATACCATCCTATCAGAATCCCATTCTATCTTTTTCAATATTTATGGAATTTTTTCATATTTATGGAAATATTTTCAATATTTCGGAAATTATTGAAACATTTATGGAAAGTTTTGAAGCTAGTTATTATTGGAAATATTGTTTGTGACATGGCTGGAAAATGACATTTTGAAATTCAATTAAATTTTTTAAATATACGAAACAATCAATGTTTCTGCAAAGTAATTTTAATATGCTAACAGCAATGATATTTATTTATTTTTTTTAAAAATGTTCTTTTAGTTGTATAGTAGTAGATGTTGGAGTAAAAAACTGTCAATTGTCGTATTTCGTGAGAACCACCCATATATATATATTTTTTAACTCCATCATGAAGTTAAAAATACTTGCATCCACAATTTTTTTTAAAAAAAAAACTTGATTGTATGTAGATTTCATAACATTGTCCTAAATAATTAAGATAAATGAAAAGTTTCAGTGCTTTTTGAATTAAAATTTGTACGGACGAAATAAATTTTATTAAATTTTAAACTCTACTTTCTTAAGACAACGTTTTCTATAATCCTATGTCACAATAAGTTCCTTAATTTTTTAACCGATTTTTTTTACTGTGCATTATTTTTGAAGAATTGAATAATTAATTCAGACTTTTGAGGGAATATTTTAAAATGCGTAAGTTTATTCTATACTACTAGATTATTATTAAGAGGCTCTATTCTACATTATTTAAAAGATTACTATAAAGTAGAATAGAATAGTCCTAAAAAATTTTTTAAAATGATGTTTGAAAATTTCATGACTTTCCCATTGAAAAAAAATCCCCCCCCTTGAAATGTAATGATTTTTAAATTTACATCTTGGTTGCTTGAAGTTTGGTAAGTTTGATTCTTTGATTAAAAAAGAAAAGTAAA